GACCGTCATGTTAGGATTTTTAAATTTTTTAAATTCTAAAATGTTTTTTTTAAAACCCAAAACCTTACCAAGGATTCAGACCTGAGTTTTCCCCGTGAGACCACAGCGTTCTTAACCGTCTGGCCGACCACCCCACTGCAATCCTTTCAAATACTATGAATGAGCTTTTTTAGCACTTACAAAGTCAGAATCAAGCAACTATTTCAATCAGCCTAAATGAGCTACCAGAATATGAGTTGTGAAGAAAAGCGACTGGGGCAACCTTTACCACATTGCCTACTGATTGTTAAGTGATCAATACCAAATTTGGGTCTCGCATCATGTCGAATTGCCCCACGTGCGAAAAGGGCCCTTCAACTACTTAACAACGTAATTAAAAGTTTCCTTTGCTAAGACCCGTAGCTTAAAAAAAAAAAAAAAAACGAGAAAAAAAGGGGTGTGGGGTTACAAAAACAAGCCAAAATTTCGACCGAAGTTAAAAATGATACTAATACAATTATAGAAATAAGTTATTATATTCTGAGGGTGGGGGAAATGGGATTTGGGGGGGGGGGGGGTATCTTTTGAGTAAGAAAAAAATTCATTTACAGACGGAACAGTAAATCGATGATGAACTTAATAAAATAAGAAAGAACTAACAGAGAAAAGAACAAATTATTGAGAAACAGAAAACAAAGACAAAAAAAAAAAGATTACAGAAGCTAAGAAAGAAAAAGAGATGTACAAGAACATGAATCTTGGAGCCCAGTGCCTTCACAAAGGAGCTCCATTTCCATATCTTACTTTAATAATAATAATAATAATAATAATAATAATAATAATAATAATAATAATAATAATAATAATAATAATAATAATAATAATAATAAGAAGAAGAAGAAGAAGAAGAAGAAGAAGAAGAAGAAGAAGAAGAAGAAGAAGAAGAAGAAGAAGAAGAAGAAGAAGAAGAAGAAGAAGAAGAAGAAGAAGAAGAAGAAGAAGAAGAAGAAGAAGAAAAAAGTGTCCCAAATAGTCCTTTCGCAGATGATTGCGCTCTCCTAAAAGCGTCAGCGAAACAATTCTGTTATCAGTTGCCGGAGTTGTTTTCCTTCTGTTTGCCCTCACATCGTTCAATGTTTGTCTTCTATTTAAAAAGTCGGAGTTTGCTTTCCCAATATAGAATACGCAGCAGCTTCGGATCTGGGACAACACAAAGTGAAAGAGATTTGCAGTCTCGAGTGGTGCTGTTGTTGAACTGAATAGGTGCTGGTTGTCTAGGTATAGGAACAATAAGGAAAACAAAATACCTCTTATGGCAATGGCGCATGGAGACGGCTATATGAAGGTGTACACAAGACAACGTAGACGCACTGGCTATGAAATCACTTAGGGTAGAGAACTGGTTAGAAACTGCCAGGTGTGCCGGGGGCCGCGTGGTCTCGAGGCATGTGTCCACCTAGAGTGCTGGAGGTCCCGGGTTTAGGTCCCGGTGTTGGCTGGGGTTTTTTCACGTTGAATTCTAGTAATTTCCCCTGGTCTCTGGGTAGTAAGATAGGACCCCCTGTGTATTGCTGCGCACGTAAAAAAAAAATCCCCTGGCAGTTGGAAATCGAAAAGAATAGCCTAACGGCCCTGCCCGGGAAAAGTTTGGAGTTAAAAATCTACCCAAAGTATTTCAGGATCCTCGCCGGTGCAACGGAGTTCGTGTACTAAATCAGGGTTGAGTTAGAAGTATCTAACTCAGGCTTGAGTCAGAAGTATAACGGAGCACTGATGGTTGACACCCGTGTGCCATGATGTTGAACCGTCGTCTAGACTAAACTAAACCAAACTATCACATAGGGAATAGAATTGGTTAAAGATGTTCAGGTGTGCTGCGAAAAGTGCGGCATTCCGTCAAGAACATGCTGATTAATGAGGATGATGCATCAGAAATGTGATGCAGGAAACGCTTTTACAGACCAGCCGCCTTTACTTTCCATGACATTTTTTGTTACCCATTTTAGACCTGGTCGACTTGGACGCCAAGGTCAATTTTGAAAGAACTCCGCCTCAGTATGATTCTGAACCCAAAAACGTTCAGGCCGCCAGGCGAGGTTCTGATCATTCTGGTTGTGGTGGGACAGACATTTAAAATGCAGATATATTCACATTATTAATAGTTATAATTGTACTGCGAAATGTGACTGCTATTGCAGGTTGTGAGACAATCTACTGAATGTAATTTTACAAACTGTCTTTGCTGTCTCCTTCTTTGTTTACAACTATTCAAAGATGGGTAAGGTTGGGGGTGGGGTGGTGGGGGGGGGGGGGGCAGGTCAAGTGCACGAACATCAATATTCCGGGGGCCACACGACATCTCAATGGAGAGAGGACAGGACATTTTTCCCACAGAAGAAAACCATATATAGGATCTAAGTACAAACACAATTTAATTACAGCCAGTAGGTGGGATAATCCCCATATTTTAAACACCGTTGATCATTGTCATCATATCATGACAGCTAAAGGTTAAAATGGCTGGGGAGTATTTAGAGAATGTCAGATGACAGAGAGAATAGAAACTATACCGACATGGGAGATCAATGGTTGTAGACCATGAGGCAAACCAAGAAGACGATGGAGAGATAATGCCCAGAGAGATCTACAAACACTTGGTGTTACAAACTGGAAAAAAAGAAGAAGAAGAAGAAGAAGCAGAAGCAGAAGAAAAAGAAGAAGAAGAAGAAGAAGAAGAAGAAGAAGAAGAAGAAGAAGAAGAAGAAGAAGAAGAAGAAGAAGAAGAAGAAGAAGAAGAAGAAGAAGAAGAAGAAGAAGAAGAAGAAGAAGAAGAAGAAGGTATAGTGGTTACGAAAAACGAAACTATAACACAGGACCATCGTAGTGGACCCAGACATATTCAAAGTGACAACTTCACACATATCTACGGACAGAAATACACAACTCCTGGCAAACAAACAATTTCAGCCATTAAACTTGGCACAAGCAAAACCAGGCCACACACAAAAAAGTACGATAGAAGGAAAGTATATACTATGATAAGGGTAATAGAGATCTGAATCTATCCATTAATGTCTGCCAGATTTAACGTCGACACCTTAATCCAGCTGCAAATCGAAAATTCGACACATAGAGACACGGTGTGAAATGTGAGAACGTTTACACATATACATACTGCTGAGTGATCGCGTGGGTTATGACAGACTAGCACAGTTTTAAGTCAGTGTTTCTGAATCTTTTTACACCCGCGACCCACCAAAACAGGGACAATTGCCTTGAAGCCCACCTGACTGCTAACCAAAGACATAAACAAAAAACAAATGTAGATAGTGGCTTATTTGTTAAATCTGGTGGTACACGATGAGACCTGGACCGTTACTAAACAAGCTGAACAGAGCATAAATGCCTTTGAATGCACATGTTATTGACGGGTTCTAAAAATCTCATGGGTAAAGAAAAGAACAAATGCATCCATACTTCAAGAACCAAATATTGAAAACGGTTGGCTTTTAAAGACGATAAAACGAAAAAAAAAAAATTGAAATATTTTGGTCACTTGAAACGTCAAGAAAGTTTAGAGGAGAATAGTAATGGAGCAGTATATGCCTGGGAACAGACGAAGAGGAAGGCCAAAGAGAAGATGAGTGTAGGATGTGGCGGATGATCTCCAGATGGGTGTATCAGACGAGGGACATCTTGTTTGTGATCGAGAAGTTTTCCGGTAGGTTGTTATGGGAGCAAGGTTCAACAAAGGAAATGCTACTGACTGACTGACTGACTGACTGACTGACTGACTGACTGACTGACTGACTGACTGACTGACTGACTGATCTTACATAATTACAAGTTTCAGCCGACGCGATATTTTTTTAATTTATTTTTTTATTCTCATCGTAGGTGATAATCCTACAAACTGCAATCCAGGAAAAGAAAAAAAATTACTTATCATCCTTCCCCATTATGTGATTAACGAATATATTAGCCGGCCGACCTGGGCTTTTCTGGTGCCCAACATCAGTCGGCGGTCTGAAAGTTCAAGAACACAATTTTAAAGTTATATCATTACGAAACAAGGGGTCAGCCTTCTTACTCACTACGTTTGTATACTTCAACTGTCATAATTGTAATTACAGTCTGCATTCTGGCCGCATGCATACTTCAAGAAGACTTCTACACAGTTTACAGTTTTAGTTTATATCATGTTCATGGAGTGACCAACTTAAATGTCACATCCCCGTGTGGGTTCAGGGGCCCTGTTATAGGAAAAACAAGAATAGGCCCACTGCCTACCCAAAAGCATGTCGTAAGAGTCGACTAATTGGGAGCTTCACACAAATTTTCTTAGAATAAGTAAAGTAAAGATCCCTTTTCACGCCTGTAGGCGCATCGGGCATATGGGAAGAGCGCCTATATTTTTACAGACCAATCGGCACTAGGTGGGTAATGTAGTCAGCATTACGCTGGCCGTCTTTACTTCCCCAGGACGTACATCCTGATACCTATTTTAGGCTGGGACGACATGAGACGCCCCATATCATGAAAAAAATCCACGCAGCCAGCAGTGGGTTTTGATCGCGGTAAGTTGGAATTACGAGTCGGGTTCGCAACGCACATGAAACTCCACAACAGCAACGATGTGTTCATGGTTGAGGCGGCCAGAAGAGCAAGCAGCTGAATCCTAGGTTTTCAGTCCACATCCGCGGCAGTGAAGAAGAATAAGATCAATCGTGTGCTGCTTTTTATGTATATGTATATGTATATGTATATGTATATGTATGTATATATATATATATATATATATATATATATATATATATATATATATATATATATATATATATATATATCGCATAGAGTGCCTAAAGCGCCACTGGCGTAACCAGAATCATTTACTGTATTTTGTTGTTGTATGTTCAGCATACTTATATATTGTGACAGCCGTTTAAAACACATAGAAGACATGAACGCGACATTATGACAACCGTACAAAACGTCAAGAAGACACCACAAACAAAACTTACCCCCTTTTCCCTTGGCTATTAGGTTTCTTGCTCGTAAAACTGGGGACAGATGCATATGCAAATTAACATTTCACAGCTGCAGAAGCAGACATTTCACCAGGAAAGTCGCACATTCAATGCCTTTCTAGCAGTGCACCGGCACCCTTTTTTGAAAGACCTCACTGTTTAGCACAACTATATATCCCCCTTTCCCCCTTTTAAATAGCCATATTGTTGTGAGTAAAGACACCCTTGTATCTTTGGTAGTCTTTGTAATCTTAGTTTCAGCTTCATAGCAAACGAGTCACCCCATAGTTGCTCCGCTCCTGTGCCAACGAAAAACACACAGAATGTTCGTCGCAGTCCCTTGGGGAAAGATTGACAGACTGCTGTCTCAGGATATGCACTAGCATACACACGCATTAAAAGCAAACGGTAGCCACCAGAAGTGCTAACACAAACAGTCCGACATTAGAAATGCAGTTCATCATGGATGGTAGCAGAAGACTCCAACAGATCAGCAGTTGCGCACGCGATCAATATTAATCACATAAGGGTACCACCAATATTGCAGCGACAGGAAACGCGCCATTTTCTAAATCTACAGTTCACAACACCACGTTGGTCACAGTCGAAAAACATTACAAATGAAATCCGCAGCTCACAGGGTCGCGCCATGTATCTTTGAAGCCCAGGAGATATTATTTCCAAACGTTTTACGCGGAGCCCTTCAACATCTACTAAAGTCAAAGTTCTGTCTCGCAACACCAAGAATATCAAAATATATAAACGTTGATAAGACCAGACGTTTTATATGGCTCTGAAACTTGGAGCACAACTAAAAGAGATGACGCCTTATTACAGGTTTTCGGAAACAGAGTCTTACAACGAATCTTTGGACCCACCAAAGTTGCAAACAGCGGCGAATAGGGAGTGAGAAGCAACAACGAAATTCATAATTTGTTTAAATCACCACTGATAACTGGCTTAATGAGAGCTAAAAGACTGAAATGGTTGGGGCATATTGAAAAAAATGTCAAATGACAGAAAATTTAAAACTGTATACATGAGGGAGATGTATGGTCGTAGACCACGAGGCAGACCAAGAAAACGATGAAAATAGTAATATTACGCGGGGAAAATTGAGAAGTACTGTAAAAATCCAGGATCTTTTTTATGTCAGTAGTGCATAGGAAATTTAATGCTAGACTAATTTTTCTTTTTACAGATTATTTAGTACCTGCCGCCTTTACTTCCGATGAAATGTTTATTGTAACAACCTTAGGTTGTGTCGAGCTGGGAGTCAGTGCCAGTTATTAAAATGTCCGCTCGATGATGTCATTCAAACCCAAAATCTTCGGCTAGCAGGCAAGCGTTTAGCCAAATCTTCGGCTAGCAGGCAAGCGTTTAGCCAAATCTTCGGCTAGCAGGCAAGCGTTTAGCCAAATCTTCGGCTAGCAGGCAAGCGTTTAGCCAAATCTTCGGCTAGCAGGCAAGCGTTTAGCCAAATCTTCGGCTAGCAGGCAAGCGTTTGGCCAAATCTTCGGCTAGCAGGCAAGCGTTTAGCCAAATCTTCGGCTAGCAGGCAAGCGTTTGGCCAAATCTTCCGCTAGCAGGCAAGCGTTTAGCCAAATCTTCGGCTAGCAGGCAAGCGTTTAGCCAAATCTTCGGCTAGCAGGCAAGCGTTTAGCCAAATCTTCGGCTAGCAGGCAAGCGTTAGCCAAATCTTCGGCTAGCAGGCAAGCGTTTAGCCAAATCTTCGGCTAGCAGGCAAGCGTTTAGCCAAATCTTCGGCTAGCAGGCAAGCGTTTAGCCAAATCTTCGGCTAGCAGGCAAGCGTTTAGCCAAATCTTCGGCTAGCAGGCAAGCGTTTAGCCAAATCTTCGGCTAGCAGGCAAGCGTTTAGCCAAATCTTCGGCTAGCAGGCAAGCGTTTAGCCAAATCTTCGGCTAGCAGGCAAGCGTTTAGCCAAATCTTCGGCTAGCAGGCAAGCGTTTAGCCAAATCTTCGGCTAGCAGGCAAGCGTTTAGCCAAATCTTCGGCTAGCAGGCAAGCGTTTAGCCAAATCTTCGGCTAGCAGGCAAGCGTTTAGCCAAATCTTCGACTAGCAGGCAAGCGTTTAGTCAAATCTTCGGCAAGCAGGCAAGAGTTTAGCCAAATCTTCGGCTAGCAGGCAAGCGTTTAGCCAAATCTTCGGCTTGCAGGCAAGCGTTTAGCCAAATCTTTGGCTAGCAGGCAAACGTTTAGCCAAATCTTCGGCTAGCAGGCAAGCGTTTAGCCAAATCTTCGGCTAGCAGGCAAGCGTTTAGCCAAATCTTCGGCTAGCAGGCAAGCGTTTAGCCAAATTTTTGGCTAGCAGGCAAGCGTTTAGCCAAATCTTCGGCTAGCAGGCAAGCGTTTAGCGAAATCTTTGGCTAGCAGGCAAGCGTTTAGCCAAATCTTCGGCTAGCAGGCAAGCGTTTAGCCAAATCTTCGGCTAGCAGGCAAGCGTTTAGCCAAATCTTCGGCTAGCAGGCAAGCGTTTAGCCAAATTTTTGGCTAGCAGGCAAGCGTTTAGCCAAATCTTCGGCTAGCAGGCAAGCGTTTAGCCAAATCTTCGGCTAGCAGGCAAGCGTTAAGCCACTTTGATATCTCGGCTCCTAATGAACAAGGAAGAAGTATAAAACTGTCTTACAAGAACAGGTAACTTTAGCAGTTATTAAGGGGCTTTTGAGCTTATATGCCATTGAGAGATTCTCACAATACTATAGACACAGAAGTCAAGAAATGCTAACATTCTATCAGATCTAAACAGTAAGGACATTGGCAGATCTTGTCTTGGGAACTGAAAATTCTGGCCATTTCAAGCGCCACGGCGGATTGGAAAGATCAATGGCAGAAGGCATGGTACCAGAGTGGTATGTATCCATTTTTGTGCTGGTCGGCCCCTGCCCCTCATGCTACTTCCTTCTCTATTTTTTTTTTAGTTGACTCATTCAGCGCCATTCTGCTATTATTGTAAAGCATGTAGACCCAAAGTACCTGTTATAATAACCGCTTGGGACATAAAAAGATCAAACGGAATACGTTATCTCAGTCGTAAGCTTGAATGTGATGGGAGATATCGATGACATTATATCGGCTTACAGTGCACATTCAACAAATAGCCAGTAGGACTGACGTTTAATGATCTTCTAAAGCCTCTGGTGTGTTAGTTAATGTGTTTCTTTTGCAGTATATAATCTCCCGTAGGGTTGAGGGTTAGAATCTGTAGATATACCTAAAACAGTAGCGACTGTCTCATTATAAACTTTCTTCTTCTTCTCTCTCATAAGAGCCTTAACTCTTTGGATTCCAGGCAGAGTATGGTGTGTTGATGTTTCTTTTTTTCTAAACTCAACCATACAGTAAAGTGTTTTTTAATATTTTACATTTGATTGCAGCTCACTAAAAATCTGGCTTCCACGGTGTCCATTTTCTCAGTACGTTCAACTTTTTAGTGGTACATCCATTCATGATTTCTCATAGTGGTTATACACTCTCTTCCTGACGGAGCTGGACATTTGTTTATTAAACAATGACATTGGTTCCCAGATGGACCTAGCTTTAAATGGGTACCAGGTAAAATCCTGGAAGTAAAGGCAGCTAGCGTAATATTGACCACGTCAGCCACCGATTGCCGATTGGTCTATAAGAAAGAGGTCTAGACTTGTAAGCCCAATACACATGAAGGCGTCGAAAAGGGTTCCCTATATTTTCCTCTCTTACTCCACTCTCCCTCTGAAACTATTTGATGGTACAGCTGCTGGCAATGAAAGCGTTAATGTTTAACATAGTTTTTATCTATAAAAAAAAATAATAATTGAGAAGCGACCGTCGCTGTAATAACTCACTGCTATACCACGTCTCTAGAGCATTTTCTGACCTGTATTGATTTACTGCAACAACACACACAGGCAGACGCATCTATTATTTGAGCGGATTATGGAGATTGTGTGACAGATAGGTGAATTTTGAATTGTTGTTTGTGTTGCAAGCTGATGAAAGCTTTTTCGCCGTAACGTTTGTTTTGCTTTTTGTGATTGTAGTATTGTAAAGCTGACTACAGTTCGACATCGAGTTACCCACCGCTTTACATACAAACATTGCGAGATACCAACTTCTTTCAAATCCCATTTTGAGCTTTAAATACGAGCCAAGATTCGAGATACAAATCGCGATGCACTGTGCACGCGCGCGTGTAGTTTGTTACAAAATTGTTATGATGACTTCTAGTTTACGCAATTAATGATTAATATCTTGAAGCAATAGATGTGAACTTATCAATGTGTTAATTGTTGGCGTCTTTAAAGAAGAACGATTTTCCAGTATACTCACAGCCATTTTTTTAAAGGTTCAAAACCGTTACAGAACTGAACATATTGTTGCAAAATTTCTAAAACGCAACAAAACATCGGGTGTCGTACTGAGAGTAGTTTTGCTCCTACAAAATGTGTACGAAAGTACCAACTTCGACAGCCCTGGTCCCAACAAGAGCTCTAGCGAATCATTGAAAATAGCCTCCAACACTTGATTGTTGTTTTCCCCGTACATGTCTCGTCAAGCTTCGTTAGCCTCGCTGAATACAGACTGTTGAAAGAGTTCACATCATTCTGCTAATATTCCATAGAGGTCCTCTTGTTATTGTGACCTCTCGGGGTCAGGACATGGGTAGCGTGCGCAGTATGTTCGCTGCTGTAAGTGAAAAGGTGGAATGTTAAATGAGCTGTAGTAGGGAAAGACAGCAATCAGGCGGGCTGCAACTTGGGGGATCAAGCACTCTAACACCTCACTCCCAAAACATTTTTTTGTAAAAAGCTGACCTAGCAGCTCTCTTTCCACAACTGACCCCTTCCTGGATATTTGCAAAAGGTTAAATGGTATTACTTACTATGCATAGACGTTCTTTTCGTTTTTATGTATTTTTTTTTTTTAATGCATGCATTTTATTTGACCCCCAAAAATTGTTAAGTATATTTGCCATTAAGCACATTTTATGATTATTGCGCACTTACAAAAGACTAAAGTCTCAAGTCCTTTAAGAGCCGCCCCTTAAATTAAAAAAAGAAATATAAGAAGACTGCCGCCGCTCCCCCCCCCCCACCTTTCAAACCCCAACAGTTTCTCTGTGTCGACGCCACTGACAAAAGTTGTCAACACTGCCTCCCCATTCACCCAAAGTGTCAGAATACTTATGTTGCAATTGTAGGCCTAAGCTATCCCACGCCAGGGGAAGGACTAAAGCCAGTGACGTTTAACTGGAAAGCAATACAGAGGAAACAGTATAAAAACACACATAAAGCTACCTATTCAAAGACAACACAACAGGGGCACCGGAACCCAAGGGTTTAAGTACCTAGAGCACCACACCTTGCCCCTAATAGTTTTATTTTCTAGGGAGGAAATTAGGCGTGGGGGGGGGGGGGGGGGGGGGGGGGGGGAGAGGGAGATGGGTGGGGGGGGGGATGGGGAGCTGAATTTCATCCCATGAAATTTTGCATGGAGGCTAAGTTGTTACGCCTAAAAAAGTATAGACGATCGCGTTATAAATGTTAGCTTATACATTTCCTTTTATTTTACCATCATCATCATCATCATCATCATCATTATTATCATCACCACGTGCCCTGTCGACTGGTGTAGGCGATCACACATCTCTACAGATCTCGGCCCCTTGTCCTCTGGGTCAGTTTCAGCGATCATATCCGTGCCAGTGTCGCAGTCCATCTGTCATCATCTCTCTCGGTCCGACTCTCCCTCTTCTACCGTTGATCTTCCCAGTCGTCACAATTCTTATTCTTCTTCTTTCGTTCGCTTGAAATAAGTTGTCTATATCAGCAATTTTGTCTCTCGTATAAATTTCATTGTCGTTGTTAGTTCATTTCGAAGTCCATAGAGTTTACGTTCCACTATTTTTCTTTCTGGCCAAACGGTTCGCCTTAATGTGTCAAATTCGGTGAAGTCCTGGGGCACCTTTCTACAGGTGCACATGGCTGATATGCCTATCTTAAATTTTGTGTACATGTGGTTATGTAATCGACTGTGCCTTGTTCTGAGGCGCAGGATAATGACTTTTCTGATCTGTCCTTAATAAAATAGTCGTCTTGTGCAGGGCCTGGTGGTTTCCTCATTGATTTAAAGTTCGTTTTCTTTTGGTGGTTTATGACTGGTACATCTGGCTGCACTTTCGTCTCATCTTCCCCTGCCAGTTGATCAGCTTTCTTATTTCCAGGCACACCACAGTGTGACGGTATCCACTGCATTACGCCTCTTCGCTGACAGATGTTTCAGCAGTGTTTTCAGTTCTAGTAGTTTCCTAGACTGGAGTGCTTTAAGTAAGGATTTTGCATCTGTCAGCATTACCACATGCTGTGAGCCAAGATTGGTATTTAGCAGTTTCTCTGTTGCTATCTTGATAGCCTGAGTTTCTGCATCATAGTTATGGCAGTACTTCCCGGTTGGTACACAGGACTTATCCCTAGTACCATCTAGGAATTCTGTGTACTCCAGCACCAATATTTATAACTTCACTTTTTTTCGAACCCATCTGTATAGAGACGGACCCATCGTTCTTGTGGGTATTCTTCATCAATATAACTGTACACTATCTTGCTCTTTCTTGTCGAATATTCTTTTTACATTTTTCTGGATTTGTACTGTTAGTGTGCATTTTTCTCTCCATGGGGTTTGTTCTGAAATACCTTAGGTGGTCAACCAATTTTTGGAAGGTCAGTAGTTTGTCTTTTATTTTTGCTTGGTGTGTAAAGCTACTTCTTTTTAAATCTCCCAATGCTAGGTTCTGAAATCTATCTTTCATGGGGTGATCTAGCATACTGAGGAACTTTTCAGCTTGTATTTGCGTCTTTGTATATCTGAGTTCTCTAAGTGCCTGTGTTTTCCCAGCTCTCTCCATTTCTAATATGGGGGTTGATTTTATCCCTCCTGTGATGACTCTGAGCGCTTGATTTTGCACTTTGTCCAGCTCCTTTAATGTGGTACTGGATGCTGAACACCATGCAGTTGGTCCATATTCCAAGTGTTGTTGTATGCTCTGCTTGTATACTTTATTTAATATTCCCCCACTAGCTCCACATGTTGTTCTTAGTATGGTTGTCTTCCGCCTGGTTTTGATTGCTGCCTTGTTGATATATTTTATCCATAGGAACCTGTCATCATATGTGAATCTGAGGTACGTGGGTTCTTTATCATCTCTTAGGGATACTGCATTTTGTTTTATGATGCCCGCTTTTTGCTTCGGGGAGCGGGTGAAGAGTGTGCTGATCCATTTGTGTGTTGATGCTGACACGCCATCTATTTGCTTATGTCCCAAGTACATTTGTAGCCCGCTGTAATGTTCTTGGGGCTATCATTGCATGTTCATTGGTGCACCACAGTACCAGGTTGTCTGCATACATTGCCATTTGTATTCAATTTGGTATCTCAACAATCAAGTCTTTGATGAAAAGAGGAAAAGTGTGGGCGACATGACACCACCTTGAGGGACGCCTTGTCGCAGCAGAACATTTTTACTTTGAAACCATCTACCCGTACCCGGGCTCTTCTGTTATGTAGTGATGCTTTAATCCAATTTTACATTTCTCCATTCACTTTATAGTTTCTCAATTTCTTCAAAAGCCCCTCCTTCCAAACCTTGTCAAAAGCTTTCCTTAAATCTATCCATGCCGCGAGTACCAGTTTCTTATCTTGAAAAGCATCCTCTATTTCTTGGGAGAGGTATGTTGTCTGGTCTTCCGTAGAGTAACACTTTTTAAAGCCCACCTGCTGTTGTGTAATGATCTCACAATAATCTCTAAAACCTCCTGGCCCGCCACTCTCCCCAATCACATGACCATATAACAGTTCTTTCCTTATAGCTGTATATACTGATCTGCTTTCATTAGCTCCCTTTAAGCAATCCTCGTTAGTTTCTATAGCAGACAAGGGGATTCTTAATATTCATTTGAAATATACAGTTATATTTGTTGCCCCTGGGTAGACTCAGCCTTAAATCGGTATCAGGTAAAGTCCTGGGAAGAAAAGACGACCGGTGTGATCTTTACCACACCACCCAATGAGTGCTGATAGGTCTAAAAAATACTGGTTTATCCCTATGTGCCTAATACCCCTGAAGGCGTGGAAAGTGTCATTAAAGAGAACATTATTTATATTATTATTATTATTACACACTTAAAAAGGCTTAAGCTCCTTGAGTCCACCACCTCTTTGAAAATTACAACAGGGCTAGGGCCCCGTTTCCCCTACCACGTTTTCCTGGCGTCGACGCCCTCTGTAGCAAATACAATACAAATCCCAAGCAGATACGTTCTGTAATAAAGAGGGCAAAGAGGTAAATGAGAAACGATAAGCCAATTCTCAATGGGTTTGTGTATTAGCGCCATTCTGGCAACCTGCTGGGAAAATGCATAGTTTCTTCAGACACTGCAGGTGTTGATATGTTATGTTCCAGTTAAGGCATACATCCCCCCTCCTCTCAAACACACACACATATATACATACATAAAATTATATATATATATATACACACACACATGCTCCTATATATGTGTGTGTGTGTATGTGTGGGTGTAGTTTATCTTGAGGTTGTAACAGACTGGAGTGAAGGCATTTAGACAGTTAGCAAGTCGAAAAGCAGCAGCAGAGAGGCTTTTCCACGCTATAAATCGTGGGTTGTTTTTCAGAGTTGAAAGCATTGTACCTGGAAGAGGGGGCAGGGGTCGACCAACACGAAAATTTGAACAGGAAATAAGTGACTCCCTGAGTATGAAAGTATACGAGGCGGGAGAGCTGGCGAGAGACCGAGTTTCCTTCATGCAGATTGTGATGAGAGCGACGTTCTGCAAAAACCTGCTACATGATGATGATGAGCAATGGTATGGAGTACGAGCACCTTCCGGTAGATATTTATTTTGTCAGTGTGCTAGTGTGATAGATACCTTGTCGAAGGTGCATTGTCAGTGTGCTAGTGTGATAGATACCTTGTCGAAGGTGCATTGTCAGTGTGCTAGTGCGATAGATACCTTGTCGAAGGTGCATTGTCAGTGTGCTAGTGCGATAGATACCTTGTCGAAGGTGCATTTTGTAAACAATTTATGGTGAGTACTTACACCTTTTTCTTCTCTTCTTCTTCGTCTTCTTTAAAAAAAAAAAGCTTTGGCTCTTGGGTACACATGAGCCTCTAATGCTACAACAATGCGACACTCTCATATTAAACAGTAATGGGAGAAGGAAGAGGAGAGGGAGAGGGGGGAGGGGGAGGGTTCTGTGATTAGGTGGTTAACCCGTTTCGCTTTTCCCCTGAAAGTCGTGGGTTCGTATCGAGTGCTGGGTTGTTTAGTTCGCTAGCATACATTTTACCGAGATTCCTGGGGATTGTTGCTGAAGCTACATAGTTCGTGCCTTATGCTGCTTTCTCAGCAGGCGGCTCGACGTTCTATGGAGAGACCATGCCGTGTGAAACAAATCCGGTACAATGTAATAGATATTTGGACACGAAATAGTGAGGGGCGAGTGGTGTGTCCTAGGTACATGGTATTACTCATCAAATGCCTATCGGTCAATAAAATATGGTTTAATGCAAAGAGTCCTCTACTTCACCTATCAATAGGCTGGAGACTTAAACAACGACAAATGGACACGACACACGCCACACATACCTGTAAACTGTACATGCGTTGGTATCCATTGACTCATGGCGTCTAGCCGAGGTTTGTACATCCAATGGAAGACTGTTGATGCGTTCTTAGACTTCACATCTTTAACCAACACAAGCAACGTGTTAACGTGTATTCAAACTGTCTAGTATTATCAGTGCTTGATATATATATATATATATATATATATATATATATATATATATATATATATATATATATATATATATATATAAAACAAACTATGAGTATTAATCGCTTTCTGTTTGTTTATTCTTTGGCGTATTCTCCGGTCCTTACCCCTTGCCTTTCTTCTGTCAGGACTGGTCAACTATGGATTTACTTCTTACATTATACTGTAAGTAAAGTCAAGTACAGTAACCTTTTTTCAAACCTTCCGGGAAAACGCACAAATTGGACTAGACCTATATTTTATAGACCAATCGGCACTTAGTTTGGGAATATAGTCAGCATCACGCTGACCGCCTTTTCTTCCCAGAACTTGTACCTGGTACCCACTCAAGCATGGGTCGGCCTGGACATTAGATAATACGCAAAGAATAATAAAGCTCTCCACAACCAGGATATATATAAACACTGAACGTTGATGATTTTACTATTTTTGAAATTAATAAAATAGTCGTATAAAATAGTTTCCTTTCAAAAATATAATAAACATATCGAGAATGCATTTTCGTGGTTACGAAGCTAGGCCTGTTCCCTTGCATTTTGAAGGTCGTGGGTTCGTTTCACTGATTGGATAATTGGCTCAAGTAGGCACATTTTATGGTCACAAAGAAGTCTTACATTTCGTCACTTCTTCTTTCGTTCGCCTGAAATAAGTTGTCTATATCAGCAATTTTGTCCCTTGTATAAATTTTACTGTTGTTGTTAATTCATCCTGTGGTCCATAGAGTTTACGTTCCAATGTTGTTCTTTCTGGCCAAAAGGTTTGCCTTAATGTGTCAAATTCGGTGCAGTCCTGGAGTACACGCTCTGCTGTCTGGGGCACCTTTCCACAGGTGCACATGGCTGATACGCCTATCTTGAATTTTGTGTACATGTGGTTACGTAATCGGTTGTGCCCTGTTCTGAGGCGGAGGATAATGACTTGTTCTGATCTGCCATAATAAAATACTCGTCTTGTGCTGGGGCTGGTGGTTTCCTGATTGATTTAAAGATTATTTTCTTTTGGTGGTATGTGACTGGTACATCCGGCTGCACTTTTGTCGCACCTTCTGTCAGTTGATCAGCTTTCTCATTCCCAGGCACTATACAATGTTATGGTATTCACTGCATTACATCTCTTCGCTGAAGGCTAAGTTGTCTCAGCAGTGTTTGCAATTCTGGTAGTTTCCTAGTCTGGAGTGCTTCAAGTACTGTTTTTGCATCTGTCAGCATTACCACATACTGTGAGCCAAGATTGGTATTTGGCAGTTTCTCTTTCGCTATCTTGATAGTCTGAGTTTCTGCATCATAGTTATGGCAGTACGTTTTGGTTGGTACGCTGGACTTATCCCTAGTACCATATGGGAATTCTATGTACACTCCAGCACCACCATTTCTAACTGCACTTTCTGCGGACCCATCTGTATAGACTCTGACCCATTGTTCTTGTGGGTATTCTTCATCAGTATAACTGAGGGTAGCCATTCTGCGTTGTACACTATCTTGCTCTTTCAAATATTCCTTTCACATTTGTCTGGATTTGTACTGTTAGTTTACATTTTTCTTTCCATGGGGTTTGTTCTGGAATACTTTTAGGTGGACAACCAATTTCTGGAAGGTCAACAGTTTGTCTACATATTCTTTTTTGCTTGATGTATAAAGATGCTTCTAGATGGACAGATAGATGGATGGACAGACAGACAGACGACAGACAGACAGACAGACAGACAGACAGACGGACGGACGGACGGACGGACAGACAGGCAGACAGACAGACAGACAGACAGACACTCAGATAGACAGACATACAGACACTTAGATAGACAGACAGACAGACAGACAGACAGGCAGGCAGGCAGGCAGGCAGGCAGGCAGGCAGGCAGGCAGGCAGGCAGGCAGGCAGGCAGGCAGGCAGGCAGGCAGGCAGGCAGGCAGGCAGGCAGGCAGGCAGGCAGGACAGACAGACAGACAGACAGACAGACAGACAGACAGACAGACAGACAGACAGACAGACAGACAGACAGACAGACAGACAGACAGACAGACAGACAGACAGACAGACAGACAGACAGACAGACAGACAGACAGACAGACAGACAGACAGACAGACAGACAGACAGATAGATAGATAGATAGATAGATAGATAGATAGATAGATAGATAGATAGATAGATAGATAGATAGATAGATAGATAGATAGATAGATAGATAGATAGATAGATAGATAGATAGATAGATAGATAGATAGATAGATAGATGACACATATTACAGAAGTACTAACTTTTCGAGAACTATTAATTGAAACTTATTTACAATGATTTTGTTTAACCCTATGTAAGTAACCAGTATTTTACACACCATAACAATATATTTATAATTGACACAGCCTATACGAAAGAAGAACTGGCCTATATAAATCTATACGTTAAAACTATTTACAAATGAATTATAGGAAACATAAATGGTCAGAAATAGAACTTAAGTAAATACTAAAGAACCACAGCATATATAGACCTACATTCACACTACCCCGTCATCTGTAAACTGAGTACATTAACGCAATGTTTACACAATAAGCTATGTACGATCTGCTACCGGACCAGTAAAAACATATAATATTACATCTACACACGCCATATGTTTAGCAACTTTACATAACACAACCGTTTCGCTTTATTTGCATATGAAAAACGCCGGTAGTGTGGGAGAGTGAACACTGACGACTCCCATACACTGACACGGAGAACATTCGACAGCGTCACTAAACAGAACACCTGGCACACTAGCAGGTTTATGAAAGCCATTTATTGAGGTTGTTATTGTTGACAATGGCTTACTACACAACACAGCGCCTACACACCAAGACGTGTAGGTTTAAATCCTTGTTATAAAAGCAGATGCTTAACTGAAGCAAACACTCTAAACCAAAAAGTATGCAGATTATTGCAGATCTGGCTTCAGAGCAACTTTTCAAGTCCGATCGACTAGTGGTTTGATGCTCGCAGCTTGATCGCTTTACAGGTTGGCGACTTGACGGTTTGTGTGTGCATGCGGGCGAATCGGGTGCATCCAGGGGAATGAGGCACAGGAATGCCGAAGTTGGGACAAGTTAGTACTGCTTGAGGGGGCTGCGTGGTCTCGAGGCATGGTGTCCACCTCGAGTGCTAGAGGTTCCGGGTTCAATCCCTTGTAAGGGCTGGGATTTTTTCACGAGGGCTTTAAGTAATTCTCCCTAGTCTGTGGGTAGTGAGATCGGACGCACACGTATGCATTTTTGCGCACGTAAAAAAATCCCCCGGCAGTTGGAAATCGGAAAGAGTAGCCTAACGGCACTGGCCGGGCAAAATTTGGAGTTAAAAATCTACCCAAAGTATTTCAGGATCCTCGCCGGTGCTACAGAGCCTGTGTCAAGGAATTATCTACTAAATCTCGCAGCTGTCGGGAGGAGGTCAACAAGCTGAAAAGGACTAAAATTACAGTCACAACTGTGCAGTCACCAGTTTTTAGGGCGGACTAGAGACCGATTCTGAAACTTAAAAAAAAGCACTACAGTTTGTGTTTAATGGTTTATTGACGCATAGTATTCATTAGTGACAATCAAAGTGTTACAGTAGTGTCTTCACTTATTTCTGAAAGACATTATGTTGTGGGATCTTGTAGAAATTTACACAATCGGGTAAGCGGCCTGAGTGGCAATACCGCACTGATTGTTCTTGTTTCTGGACATCCTGATGTAGCCATGTTCTCCCCAGTATTCACCCCAGCTGTGAAATAAAAAATAAAAAAAACATGTTAATTGCACTTTCTTTATCAGACGTGGTTTGATGTCTTTCTCCTTTGGGTCATCTTAATTCGCTCAATGTGAGTACTAAAACTTTCGGGAATCTGCATGGTCTCGAGGTATGGCATCCGCCTGGAGTGTTGGGGGTGCCGGGTTTAAACCCCGGCGAAGCTGGGATTTTTTTCCATGAAGACTTCTAGTAATTTCCCTTGGTCTCTGGGTAGTAAGACTGAATGCCCGTGTGTATTGTTGCGAACGTAAAAATATCTTGGCAGTTGTAAATCGAAAAGAGTAGCCTGACGGCGCTGTCCGGGCAAGATCTGGAGTTTAAAATCTACCCAAAGTATTTTAGAATCCGCACTAATGCAACGGAGTTCATGCACTCTGTTGAGATTCTTTTGACTCAAGTTTGTTGCAGAACGGAGCAGTTATGTGTTTCCACTCGTGTGACAGGAAGTTGATCCGTAAAATAAACTAAACCTAAACTTTCTCCTGCTTTCCTTAGTAAATCTTTACCGAGGTTCCTTGGTAAGGTTTTTACTGTCTTTCTCCGTTGGGACATAACTCGATGTCTTTCTCCGTTGGGACATAACTCGATGTCTTTCTCCGTTGGGACATAACTCGATGTCTTTCTCCGTTGGGACATAACTCGATGTCTTTCTCCTTTGTAAAACATTAGGTCACCCGTTCACTGATGTTTCTTGGTAAGTCATTAAGTCATTAATGAGCATTCGTACTCTTCAAGTTACTAGATTCTTCTCTCTTGGGGAAATCGTTCGATCTCTTGCTTCTAAAATCACGCAAGATACTTTTTAAGTCTGTCACTGGCCTTCACAAGTCGGTGACTGAAGTTCCTTAGCAAGTGGTCAGCTGTCGGGAAACATCAAACCATTCATTGTACAATAGAAATCTCTCACGGGCTGTCATTAACGACTCGGACACACGGCGACTTAAAAAAAAAAAGCGGCTTCTAATCAACACAAGTCGACTTTTAGAAAACACAAGGCGGCGGCTTTAAGAAAAACGCAAGCCGATTTTTAGAAAACGTAAGACGAGTATCTGTTTTCTCTAGTCGTCTGTCCGATGTAAAAAAAAAATACAAATCATTACCAGCGAGAGCGCAGCATTCTTTAGTTGCCCCCAGCCCCTGCGACCCACCGGTAAGGATTTGTAGGTAATATTTTTAAAGTCACAGTTTTGGTAACTGCATAGGGCGACTTAAAACATCCCAAAGGAGAGGACTTAAGGTGTCCTAGGGCTAGTGGCCGACCTTACCACCGAACTTCCCTAAACGACTTAGCAAGGTCAGTGAGCACCTTGAGAAGTATCTTGAGCGACATATTTTACTATGTAACATATATGTTTTCTCCTCGCTTTCACCCCGCCCTTTTTTTTCACCAACCCAATCTATACCCCTCTCTTTCTCTATTCCAATGTATAAATTTATAAGTCTAGTGTCATCTCACTCTGTTTTATCATTTTTACACATATCTAATATATATAAAATATATATATACTTTCCATCCCCCGCCATCAAGCCATTCTTTCATTCTTCTTCTTCTTCTTCTTCTTCTTCTTCTTCTTTTTCTTCTTTTTCTTCTTCTTCTTCTTTTTCTTCTTCTTCTTCTTCTTCTTCTTCTTCTTCTTCTTCTTCTTCTTCTTCTTCTTCTTCTTCTTCTTTTTCTTTTTCTTTTTCTTCTTCTTCTTCTTCTTCTTCTTCTTCTTCTTCTTCTTCTTCTTCTTCTTCTTCTTCTTCTTCTTCTTCTTCTTCTTCTTCTTCTTCTTCTTCTTCTTCTTCTTCTTCTTCTTCTTCTTCTTCTTCTTCTTCTTCTTCTTCTTCTTCTTCTTCTTTTCTTCTTCTTCTTCTTCTTCTTCTTCTTCTTCTTCTTCTTCTTCTTCTTCTTCTTCTTCTTCTTCTTCTTCTTCTTCTTCTTCTTCTTCTTCTTCTTCTTCTTCTTCTTCTTCTTCTTCTTCTTCTTCTTCTTCTTTTCTTCTTCTTCTTCTTCTTCTTCTTCTTCTTCTTCTTCTTCTTCTTCTTCTTCTTCTTCTTCTTCTTCTTCTTCTCTCTTCTTCTTCTTCTTCTTCTTCTTCTTCTTCTTCTTCTTCTTCTTTCTTTCTTCTTCTTTCTTCTTCTTCTTCTTCTTCTTCTTCTTCTTCTTCTTCTTCTTCTTCTTCTTCTTCTTCTTCTTCTTCTTCTTCTTCTTCTTCTTCTTCTTCTTCTTCTTCTTCTTCTTCTTCTTCTTCTTCTTCTTCTTCTTCTTCTTCTTCTTCTTCTTCTTCTTCTTCTTCTTCTTCTTCTTCTTCTTTCTTCTTCTTCTTCTTCTTCTTCTTCTTCTTCTTCTTCTTCTTCTTCTTCTTCTTCTTTCTTCTTCTTTCTTCTTTCTTCTTCTTCTTCTTCTTCTTCTTCTTCTTCTTCTTCTTCTTCTTCTTCTTCTTCTTCTTTCTTCTTCTTCTTCTTCTTCTTCTTCTTCTTCTTCTTCTTCTTCTTCTTCTTCTTCTTCTTCTTCTTCTTCTTCTTCTTCTTCTTCTTCTTCTTCTTCTTCTTCTTCTTCTTCTTCTTCTTCTTCTTCTTCTTCTTCTTCTTCTTCTTCTTCTTCTTCTTCTTCTTCTTCTTCTTCTTCTTCTTTCTTCTTCTTCTTCTTCTTCTTCTTCTTCTTCTTCTTCTTCTTCTTCTTCTTCTTCTTCTTCTTCTCTTCTTCTTCTTCTTCTTCTTCTTCTTCTTCTTCTTCTTCTTCTCTCTTCTTCTTCTTCTTCTTCTTCTTCTTCTTCTTCTTCTTCTTCTTCTTCTTCTTCTTCTTCTTCTTCTTCTTCTTCTTCTTCTTCTTCTTCTTCTTCTTCTTTCTTCTTCTTCTTCTTCTTCTTCTTCTTCTTCTTCTTCTTCTTCTTCTTCTTCTTCTTCTTCTTCTTCTTCTTCTTCTTCTTCTTCTTCTTCTTCTTCTTCTTCTTCTTCTTCTTCTTCTTCTTCTTCTTCTTCTTCTTCTTCTTCTTCTTCTTCTTCTTCTTCTTCTTCTTCTTCTTCTTCTTCTTCTTCTTCTTCTTCTTCTTCTTCTTCTTCTTCTTCTTCTTCTTCTTCTTCTTCTTCTTCTTTCGTTCGCCTGAAATAAGTTGTCTAAATCAGCAGTTTTGTCTCTCTTATAAATTTCACTGCCGGTAGTTAGTTCATTCTGTGGTCCATAGAGCTTACGTTCCACTGTTGTTATTTTGGCCAAAAGGTTTGCCTTAATCTGTCAAATTCGATGCAGTCCTGGAGTACATACTCTGCTGTCTGGGGCACCTTTCCACATGTGTACATGGCTGATACGCCTATCTTGAATTTGTGTACATGTGCTTATGTAATCGGTTGTGCCCTGTTCTGAGGCGGAGGATAATGACTTGTTCTGATCTATCCATAATAAAATAGTCGTTTTGTGATGTTGATGGTGGTTTACTGATTGATTTTATGTTCCTTTCTTTTGGTGGTATCTGAATGATACATCTGGCTGCACTTTTGTCGCACCTTTCTCTGCCAAGTTGATGAGCTTTTTCATTTCCAGCCACTCCACAAAGGGACAATATTCATTGCATTACGCCGCTTCGCTGACAGCTGAGTTGTGTCAGTAGTGTTTTCAGTTATAGTAATTTCCTAGACTGGAGTGCTTTAAGTACGGATTTTGCATTTGTCAGCATTACCTCATAATGTGGGTTAAGATTGGTATTTAGCAGTTTCTCTGTTATTACCTTGATAGCCTGAGTTTCTGCATCATAGTTATGGCAGTACTTTCTGGTTGGTACACTGGACTTTTCCCTAGTACTTTACTTACATTTCATTTAGACTCCAGCACCACCATTTCTAACAGCACTGTGTGCGGGCGCATTTTAAACAATAAATTTAGAATTAGTTTT